CAATATATATAATAATGTATCCCTAATTTCATTAGTCGTGATATAACCAAACTTAGTATCCAAAATATATGTATTCTCAATGTACCGTAACGGGCAGGGTTGGAGTTAATGTCACGAATGGAGTTGAAAAGATCAAAGTAAGAGTAAGTCATTGAGCCTTGCAACTCTTCTTTGAGTTGTTGCAGCGTCTTTAATAGAGCTTCGTTGTACACGGAGGCAAACATATTTGCCTGTTCATTGCATTCATGGATTGTCGAATTCTTCTCTCTTTTCTCCGGTGCGCAACCCAGTTGTGCCAGCCCGACTATTAATAATCTAGCCGCTCCAGTCTCGTGAATTTTCTGTTAATATAATTTCCTCAATTTTTTTTTTAAATAACACAAGTGCTTCATATTTAGGTTTTCTTGTTGTTGTTACCTTCAATTGCTCTTTGAAACTATCGGCTACTGATTGCATATATTGTTGAGGACTACTCTTTTGTTGAAGTTCCAAAGATCTATAATAGTCCAAAACATCGTTGCTGCCTATGACTATAACGAATAGAGATTTAGATAAGTGAGTCTTTGCTTCGGATGGTCCAAGCTTTTTCGTGAGTTCTTCATGAATAGATATCCAATTCTTAAGTTGCTGTGGTAGAGGAATAGCTTGTCCCTGAGATATTCAAGTAAAACAATTAACAAACGAATAACAAATTTTGGGAATATGTCAATTAGAAAAGTGCATATTAAGTTAGATTGAAGGTTCACCAAGTGAGTGTGATTTAGTGGTTTTGAAATTAAATATCTAAAATTACTAGTTCAACTTTAATTGGTATGGATGATTTACGTCTTAAATACTTTAAGATACTATTGCTTCTGATGTGGACAATATTCTATTTCAACTTTTCAATAATTTTTTTAAAAAAGTACTAAACTTTTCTTTTTGGACAAACAATTTTACTAAACTACGGAAAATATAGGGCTTTTTTTAATGAATAACAAAAAAATATATATTTAAAAAGTTGGTAAAAAAGGAGTATGTGGCACAATCTTGGACATTGGATTTAGGTTTTTTGTTTAGTTTGTAAATTATAATTTTTTGTTGTATTAATGGCAAATTATCCCAAAAATATATGGGTGTGACTAGTACTAAAATTGTAAGAAGAAAACATATTAGTGGAATTCAATAGTGAAAAGTTAAATTGGAGAA